TTTCACATAGAAAAACAGTTCACATGTGGGGAATCACCATCTGGACTCACTAAAGTGCCCAGTGTTGTCAGAGGGAAAAAAACGGGCTGGTTAGAAAGTCAGCTTGTGGCCAGCCGTGTCACGGACCACCTGGCCTTGCTCCATGATGAGGTCAAAAGGCTGGTTTTGTGTCATCGTGGAAAGAAGTGAGATCCCAGCCAGACACTTGCCACTTACAAGGTCACACGGGGCCACCTTTTAGGATGGCTAGAGGAGACATCAGGGATTGACGGGGGTCAGGGGGAGGAGCTTTGTCCATAATCGATATACGCCACTCTCCCTCATTGTTAACATAGACAACTGGAATGGGCATTTTCTCTGTTTTACCTAAAGTGTTACAAAACGCAGCTTCAGCTTGCTCCTTCCAATAGATCCCTACATAGATGCTCTGGAATGGCCTCTTTGTGTTTACTAATGGAAATTTCCCACAACAACTACAAGTGACTAAAAAGATGCTGCGTCTTTCATCCGTGTCTCTGTCATCATCATGCTTTCTTAACTCAACTGACGTAATTTTTGAGAAATATTGGGAAAATGCCAACAAAGAAATATAATTTGAAATTCCACTATCCAGAGAAAATCACTTTTCCTAGGGAATAGAAGCATCTTCCAACTTATGCAATTTATGCAATCATCCGTTTTTCAAAGGTCTTAAGTAAATTATATTTCATATACATTAAAATGCTTTCGATTGGCTTCTGCGGCTTTTTGTATCACCATTCACAGTGGTACTGTTTTTAAAATGATTAAAAAAAAAAAAAAGACAAGGTCTTTAAAACTATTGAACCACCGTGACTAGCCACCAATTTTGTACTAGGGGTGCTGTATCTTTCCTTTTACGCCTTCAAATAGACTGCGAGCCTCCGTCCTTATCACCACTTTCCAGTTGCAATTAGAAGGCAGTAAAGAGGAAATAACACAAACAACATGGAATTAGTGTGGCTGACACGCAGAGATCACAGCAGGTAACGGAGACAGGTGAGGACATGGTGAGGGGCGAGGGGCAGGGGCTGTGGGGCTCTGAAGTGCGCTTCCCACGTTTAGCCTTGCACTAGATATAAAAGTGTCCACATCTCCAAAAATAAATTATGTACCTTATGGAGCAATTTGCATAAAACAGTTTTGTATCTGTTGTGTGTTTCATAACCTGGGGTACATCTGTACATTTATAGATTTAAAAAAATAGTATATATACTTCCTTGTAACATGCTTTTTGGTTGGCACATGCCTCTTTTATGTCCATAAATACAGACATCATAATTGCCGATGACTACAAAATTCTCTGGTGTATGGATCTATAAAAATTAGCCGGGCGCGGTGGCTCAAGCCTGTAATCCCAGCACTTTGGGAGGCCGAGGCGGGTGGATCACGAGGTCGAGAGATCGAGACCATCCCGGTCAACATGGTGAAACCCCGTCTCTACTAAAAATACAAAAAATTTGCTGGGCATGGTGGCGCGTGCCTGTAATCCCAGCTACTCAGGAGGCTGAGGCAGGAGAATTGCCTGAACCCAGGAGGCGAGGTTGTAGTGAGCCGAGATCACGCCATTGCACTCCAGCCTGGGTAACAAGAGTGAAACTCTGTCTCAAAAAAAAAAAAAAAAAAAAATTATTGGCCGGGCGTGGTGACTCACATCTGTAATCCCAGCACTTTGGGAGGCCAAGGTGGGTGGATCATGAGGTCAGGAGTTCAAGACCAGCCTAGCCAATATGGCGAAACCCCATCTCTACTAACAATACAAAAAATTAGTCGGGCGTGGTGGTGTGCACCTGTAGTCCCAGCTACTTGGGAGGCTGAGGCAGGAGAAATGCTTGAACCTGGAAGGCGGGGGTTGCAGTGAGCTGAGAGCATGACACTGTACTCTAGCCTGGGTGACAGGGTGAGACTCCACCTCAAAAAAAAAAAAAAAAAAAAAAAAAAGAAAAGAAAAGAAAAAGAATTATTTAAACAGTTTCCAGTTAGTGGATCTTCTGGGTGTTTCCAGTTTGGCCTATAATGGACACCTCTGGTTTCCAGGGTTGCCTTCTTTGGCCTGCCTCTGATTTCAGCCACAGCTGCCATGAACTTTGTCATGAGAGCTCAGACTCACCTGGCGCTGGCAGCCCCACATGGACGAGCTAGCACAGGGGCTTTTCCAGTGCTAAAGAGCCTTAAGGCAAAGGAGGGTCTTTCCTACGGCTCCTAGACCTTCAACCAGTGGGGACAGAACTGGTGAATAAATGCTTCAGGAGACCTTGTGAGCGATGCGCAAGAGGGCGCTGTGGAGTTGAGTCCCAGCGGCCCAGAGCATCAGCCTCACCGCATTTGCTTTTCTGTGTTCCCTACTCTCTCCCTCCTGCTTCCTGGGATCGTCTTGGAAATGAACTACCTGCATCCAGACAAGTCCTAAACTCTCCTGTTCTGAGCCAAGACAGGGACTATGATAAACAGTGCTGTGGACCAATATCCTTGAACGCACATCTCTACCATGGGTCTAGTTATTTCCCTAAGGTAAGTCTCTAGAAACGTTCACTGCTGATCTAGTTATTTCCTTAAATCTCTGGAAATGTTCATTGCTGAGTCAAAGGGCATGGACTTTTAAAAACAAGCTCAAATAAAGTGCTCTGTTTAACAGAGCTCCTAACTGTAAGGTGATTGATTTTATTTTATTTGCCTTTGCCTATTCAATCCCAGAGCTATCATGAAGCTCTCTCTTCCATCAGGAAGAAAAGTGTTGATACTAACTTCCTGCAGTCTTTTAAACCCTCCTCCCCAGAGGACCGAGAAGTCCCTCCCCTTCCCTGTCCTGCAAACACGATGAGTGGAATAATTGGAAGGCACACCCCCTGTCTTCCAAATAGCTCGCTTTCTTGCCCGGTAGTTATTAAGAATGAGTCGTTAATTTTGCCGTGGAAAAGACTGTTTATGAGGAAAGTAAGAAACGAGAGGAACATTCACTCATACATTAAGCCACAAGGAAATAAAACCAACCACAAGATAAAATGTCTGTTTCTCAAACAGCTCAATCCTTCTATCACTAGTAGCATTGGCGCTCTTTTTTTTTTTTTTTTTTTTTTGAGAAGGAGTTTCGCTCTTGTTACCCAGGCTGGAGTGCAATGGCGCCATCTCGGCTCACCGCAACCTCCGCCTCCTGGGTTCAGGCAATTCTCCTGCCTCAGCCTCCTGAGTAGCTGGGATTACAGGCACGTGCCACCATGCCCAGCTAATTTTTTGTATTTTTAGTAGAGACGGGGTTTCACCATGTTGACCAGGATGGTCTCGATCTCTTGACCTCGTGATCCACCCGCCTCGGCCTCCCAAAGTGCTGGGATTACAGGCTTGAGCCACCGCGCCCGGCGACGCTCTTAATTATAGACAGTAAAGTCTGGTGGTAAGAGAGGCACGAGGAACTGCGCGTGTACAGAAGGAACTCTAATGCGCATGCGCTCCGGCGGGGCCGCGGCAAATCCAGAAACGGTGTCAGCCCCAAATACGCACCAGCCGCAGCCTTTCCACAAGGCGGAATGGTGAGCGGAGGTTTGCAAGTATAATTTACATAAACATATATGTGATTATTATTATTTTTTTATCTTGTATGTCATGTCCTTATTTCATTTTTCACTAGTAATTTATGTTTATTATAGTTTTTAAAGGTTCAGAGAGCAATGGAGTAGAAAAACAATAAGAAACACATATGTGATTATTTTTTAAAATAAGTGCACTATTTATAAATCCTAGCCCATGAACCTTTGTGACATCTCCTTTCAGGAAGTCTGTTTTTGAAAGGTATATAAAACCTTTTTCCTGGCCAACACTTGCAGGTTCTGCCCGCTTGGGTGGCTTCCCTAACAAAGGAAAAAAACAAACAAAACCAACCTTCCTTGGCTGTGTTGGCCATCGACGTTGATAACCGCAGCAAAGGCATTCTGACTGCTGTTTATTCTGTGATAATGACTATCACCAAACTTGCATGATTACAATGTTAGTAATTTTGTTGATTATAAATAGCACTAATGCTGTGATACATTAGCAAAGACACAGCATTATGGACACGTGGTCCACACTCACTTGGAGAGCTGCACCTTTAGGGTGATTGTTTAAACCATCCTGAAAAGCATTATCCTTACATGGCCTCTGTTTCCCATCACTCCAGTGAAGGTTTCCTTTAAACACTACCACCGTTCTCCCTGCTCAGTGTTTCTGTGGCCTTCTCAGATGTCCTTCACTCAGTCTACGCTGTGCTTTGTATTCAAAAGAGAATCCCTTGATAGTATATGGACCCAGCAATGTCCTAGTTTCTCGAATTTGCTAAAAGCAGGGGCATTAGATTGTGAAAGCCCACTAGAGCCATTTCTAGTTTAGCAGTAATACATCTTCCTTTTGGCAAGAGTCCTACTGAGTAAATTCGTATGGTCTTGAGCCCTTCGCTGTTTATTGCAAGACTGTATATTCTAAGGGAGGAGGACAAAGGGCACAATTAGGACTTTATTCAAAACACCCACATATCATGGAGAGAATCTACATTTACTGTTTAATTTTAGTTTTCAGAATGTATTGCAAAGAGTCACCTGGATAAAGAGAAATCCCCCCACAGAACAATGTCTTTCTACCTTCTCCAAAGCACACTCCCCTTTCTGAGGAGTGATGCTTCCACTTAAAATGGTATGTATTGATTAAAGCCAACATATTTCCTGTTTTTCAGCTGTCTGCCGGGTTCTAGGGAGCATTTTATTTTAACATAAACCTTTCTTTATTGATTCAGAACCAGAAAACATTTTAATGTAGTAGTAACATTTAGTCACAATGGGAAGTGTGCTTTTGGCAGTTCCTTGGTTCACAGCATGAATGTATGTGTCTGCATGTGTGTATAAATATCCATTAGACTCATTTTAAGATGTGTTTTTTAAAAATACTAAAATATGTAAATATCCTGATGACTGAGACTATAGGTTGATATTTTATAATACGGTTTTCTGTTCACATTCAGATACAGTAAACCCATATATTGAAGCTTTCTAGTATAATAAAAAATTCAACTATTCTGTTAAATCATCTGTCCTTATTGGAGGCTACAGAATAGATGTCATCTTAGGTAAGGACTGAGGGTAAATGACTATAAAACATGATAAAAAAGACACTGAATGTAAGAAAGCCTTAGCCCATCTTTTATTCCAAAATATCTATTGATTTGTTATATCAGGAAGAGTCTCAGAATAATTCTTTTGATGGTCCTCTAAATTTATTTCAAGTTAAATTCGTGTTCTCTCTAATCTTCTCACCATTCTCAGTCTATATGTAGACACCAAATGGATGCAAATAATGAAGCATATTCTGAAACTAGCTGCCTTGTGTAGACCCAACTTAAAAGAAACAAAAAAATGATGGATTTTTGGGACTGAGCTTTTATTATAAAAGGATAAAGACAATTCAACCCTATTGTGGAGCTTATCTGTAGCATGAATTAAGCTTCTTAGCAAATAAAGTCAGTCCTCCTATGTTACTTGACCCTGCCCAAAGGGAATAGGTAGCCTCCCAGATTACTACTGAACATTTTGGGTAGCAACAAACTTCAGATCCTTACATATCTTGGTCTGGGTTGCTGTAAAGTAAGCTTATCCTACTCGCGGGCCATGGGATGCATGCAGCCCAGGACAGCTTTGAATGAGACCCACATAAATTTGTAAACTTTCTAAAAACATTGTTTTCTTTTTTTGCACATTTTTTTTCACTTATCAGCTATCATTAGTGTTAGTGTATTTTATTTGTGACCCAGGGAAGCCAAAAGATTGGACACCCCTGCAAATACCCAAGGTCAGGTAATTTCTAAAGAAAATGGGTTTATTTGGCTCACAGCTCCATAGGCTGTACAAGCAGCACGGTGCTAGCATTTGCTTCTGGTAAGAGCTTCAGGAAGCTTCTACTCATGGCAGAAGGGGAAGGGAAGCCAGTATGTTACATGGTGAGAACAGAAGTGAGAGAGAAAGGAAGGAGGTGCCAGGCTCTTTTTAATAATGGGATCTCACAGGAACTAAGAGTGAGAACTTAATCATAAGAAAGCCACTAAGCCATTCATGAGGAATCCGTCCCATTGGCCCAAACACCTCCTACCAGACCCCACCTCCAACTTTGGGGATCAATTTGCAACATCAGATTTGGAGGGGACAAATCCCAAACTATAACATTGCAACGATTGTGACAAACGTCAAGTGGAGACAGTCTGACTTCATTTTCTTATAACTACTTTATGTGAAAAGTCATTTTATAAGGCCCAGAAAATTCTGTGAAAAGTAAAACGTACCCAGTGGCTCAAATGGCTGTGTAGGGTTTTATGTTGAGGTACACCAGACCATGATATATATCATATTTACTCTGATTTCATATTTACTATAATTTCATATTTACTCTGATTAAAGATCTCATGACTTGACACAGGGATGATATTATATAGATTCAAATACTTCCAGAATTCTTTTTTTTTTTTTAAGGTGGAGTCTCAGTCTTTTTGCCCAGGCTAGAGTACAGTGTGTGATCTCGGCTCACCACAACCTCCGCCTCCTGGGTTCAAGTGATTCTCTTGCCTCAGCCTCCTGAGTAGCTGGGATTACAGACACCCCCCACCACACCTGGCTAAATTTTTGTATTTTTAGTAGAGATGGGGTTTGACTATGTTGGTCAGGCTAGTCTTGAACTCCTGACCTCAGGCCATCCACCCACCTTGGCCTCCCAAAGTTCTGGGATTACAGGTGTGAGCCACCACACCTGACCCAGAATTCTTATATGTCCCCAGAGAGAATAGGCAGAAAGCCTTCAGTTAGAGTCACATATTGCTTACCATTTTTTTCTTTTTAATTCTAGGACTGCTTGCTCTGAGTAAGGCTTGTCTTCAAATCTGAATGACCACAAGGAGATTATAAATGTGAACACCTCAGAAGGCACAGCCCACCCAGAAGGCAGACAGGTCAGGCTATTTTTTCTTCATTGGTTGGATTCAATCTTCTGGCAGCTCAGACATAACTTAAGCATGATTAAACTTTAGAAGAAGCTGCCAGGAAGACTGTGAAATCTTCATGCCCAAAGATCCCTAAAATTAGGAGCGACAACCACTTGGCTCAGATGGTTTATGGAGGCAAAGGTTTGGATGGGATTAGAGATTTCTAAATGTGAGTTCGTGTCCTCTGGCAGACCACCTTACTTCCACCATTCCTCAGCAAATCGAGAAAAACGAGAGTAAAGACCTGTCTTTCTATAAGTTAAATCCATTGTTTTAATTCTATATTATATCTGCAGTACAACTTCTTTTGTTTGTAACACCATATTGTTGCTAGTAGCTGGAAATTAATTTTCACATGCCTCAGCTTAGAAAAATAAAAAGCAGTTCTGCATCAATCCCAATTTCCTTTTTAGTTTTAATGAGCCTTGAAATCCAAAATTCTGGAAACCACTGGTCTAGATAATCTTTATTCAACAAATATTCATTCAGCTGCCTGTTCTTATGTCATACAAAGGGAAAATGACTTTTTCCACAGGATTATGAAAATAATTAAATAAACTAATATTCATGGCATGTGATACCACGTTAAGTGCTTTACATATGTTAATTATTTTTATTTAATTCTTGCAAAAACCCTAAGACAAAGACAACCCACAAAAAGCAGGGAGGGTGGATTAGTGCCAGGTCACCTCTGGCAGAGGCTCACATAATTAACCTAGTTTTTACCCTCCTAAGAAAATGACTGGTGTTTCCAGGGAGGTGGCATGATAGCAGAAACACATTTTAAACTTTTTACTGTTTTGCTTTTTTTTTTTTTTTTTTTTTTTTCATGAAACCAAAGCTTGAGTGGTGAGGTGGCTGGGCATGGTGATGAAAACAAAAGGTGGACGACAGAAACATCGGTGGAATTTGTTGATGTGTGAAACACCTCCAATCAGTCAGAATTCAGACTTAATCAGAGACCACTTGTTCAGAGGCATAATCTCTCTGGCGCAACAAGCCAATCATATTCCCTTCTGCTTCACATGATGTCTGTTTTCTGCTCCATGATTTGTGAGAGCAATTCTACATGTGTTGAAGAACTAAAGGATAAAAACAGGAATTAACAGCTAGACAACTAGCTATTGGTGATGGCTAATTATAGAATGGAAAAAAATAATACTTTCCTTTGATTGAGCCACTTCAATCTTAATTTTGCATTCAAAATCGAGGGTAGGAATGTTATATGCCAAGGCCTCTTGGAACTACCATCCTTAAATCACTAAGCCCTAAACTAAGTAAGTTGGGTTATCATTTTGATACTATTTTTCACTGGTAGAACGAGAATCTCTCCTACACATTAAAATAGTTTTTTGGTTTTTTAATGCAGAAACAAAACAGGGATCAGAAAGCCACTTTTTAAAAACATAATAAGGGGAGAAAATAACCTTTACGTAAAGAGAGTTAGTTCTCCCCCTATGAGAGGGGAGTGTGATACAAGTGATTACCCAGAAGATAGTCAATTAGCTCTTGCTATGGACTGAATTGTGATTCCCCATGCGCACCAAAAAAATTTGCCTGTTGAATTTTTTCCTTAGACCTAATGATCTCTAAAGGCCACATCTCCAGATAGCATCCCATTGCGATGCTATCTGGAGATGTGGCCTTTAGAGATCATTAGATCTAAGGTCACGACTGTGGGTTCCTCGTCATGGCATTAGTGTCCTTATAGGAAGAGACAGACACTGGAGCTCACTGGCTCACGCTCTCACTCCTCCCCATGTGAGAAGGCAGCCAGCTAACCCTTACGCCAGGAAGAGGTTCCTCATCAGAACCTGGCCATGGTGACACCCAGATCTTGAACCTCCAGACTCCAGAACTGGCAGAAAATAAGTACGCTATTTAAACTACTCTATGGTGCTTTGTTATGGCAGCCACATAACAAACACTCCCTATGCAAAGTGAGCAGCAAATCTATTATCTGTCTTTTGAGTACTCCTCTCCCGCTGAACAGGAGCGATGATGCTCCTTGCTTGACCAGACTTTGGACTGAGAGCTGATAACTCAATTGCAATGGAAAGGAGTGTTAATTAGCACTTTTTCTCTGCAGTTTGAAAAAGGAAAAGAAGCTTGACCCCAAGATATTTGAGTCTCTGGGGAGCAGAGGGGGGAAAGGTCTGCATTCACGAGGGCCGGGATGCCTGTCCCAATTCTGATCCAATGCATAGACAGCTGCAGCTCCAGCCACTCAAGGTGTGGCCTGCAGCATGGGCTGAGTCAGCGGGACAGGAGCACGCAAAAAGAGAGAAGACAGATTTGCTGCTCATTTTGCATAGGGAGTCCTAAGCTCTTTCGCATTTTTCAATCAGCGAAAAAGAGAAGATATGTCTGCATAGTTTATTGAATTGTTAGACTAGGTAGAAATAAAGAAACAAAATGGCTTTTTTTTTTTTTAGATGAAGTCTTGCTCTATTGCCAGACTGGAGTGCAGTGGTACGATCTTGGCTCACTGCAATCTCCACCTCCTGGGTTTAAGTGATTCTCCTGCCTCAGCCTCCTGTAGCTGGGACTACAGGTGCATACCACCACACCAGGCTAATTTTTTTAATATTTAGTATTTAGTTTCACCATGTTGGCCAGGATGGTCTCGATCTCCTCACCTCGTGATCCACCCACCCTGGCCTCCCAAAGTGCTGGGATTACAAGCGTGAGCCACTGTGCTCAGCCAAAATAGCTTCTTTTTATATGAAAATTTTCAATTCTGAGCCCTGGACGTTCTCTTAGAGAGGCATATGGCATGATGCTTAAGAACAGGGGCCTGATACCTCATCACCTGGTGAGGCCCTCTAGCCCTGCCAATTTGCCAGCTGAGTAACATTAAGCAAATTCCCTTATCTTTATGCGCTTCATCTGTCAAATGGATGTAATGTTAATGCCTTCCTTCGGGAGTTATGATATTAAGCATAAAGAATTTACAACTGCACCTTGTTCAAAATAATTTCTTATTATCAGTTTGGGCCTCAACATTTTATAGAACAGGTTACCAAGACTCAGAAGTAAATTCCGAGAGGTTACAAAGCAACATAATATCATTATTGCAAAGCACGTTAGGGTGACTAGCTGATGCTGATTTCCCAGAACTAGCCCCAGTTTTAGCATTGAAAGTCCTGCAGTCTGGGAAGACTGGGAGGGTCATCCTACACTGATAAAGTCACATAAAGTGGAATCAGCGGAATAACGCCCTAACCACAGAAGAGATGTTCATTTGGAAGGAAGCAATGTTACTATGGAAGATGTGACTCCAAATGCAGGCACCTGGTGTGAGACTCTGAAAACAGTGAAGAAAGCATGTGTCGAGTTATGTGGGACTATGGAAAACAAAGGTTCTCTAGAAATGTATTAGTTTGGTGGTCAGGAATTTTCCAGACATGCTTTCTATCCTCTGGGGGAATTCCAGCAGTGCAGATGTGGTCTTTATGAACCTGGTCTCATAAGCTGCTGGTCTGTCCTGATATTTACAGAAAAAAAATTCCACTAATCATCTAAGATTGCATTTGTAGAGCGTTTATCTCAAAGGAGCACGGTGTTCTTGGCAGTCATTATTTAATTAATCCTCACACTGTCTCTGTGCGACACAGAGCAGGCAGGTGTAATTATCTCTGTTTTGCAGATGACATGAGTTGGAGTTATGCCTGGTTATAAGGTGCCTTGGAAAGAGATGTGCCACTGTGATAACAGGTTTGATTTGGTTCTTATTCTTTCCAGTGAGTCTTAGACTTGATTTGACTCTAGGGAACCCTAAATGAACATCATAAATGGTATTCTCCTTATTCATGGCTCGTCTTTCTTTGCCTGTCACCCGATACATTTGGTCACCACGTTAAACAGCTTGTGTCTAACAGGCAGGAAACTCGGCCGTGACACTGTGATCATTAGGTCAGGCCTCCAGAGGTCAAAATCCGCACTCATTCCATTCCCTGCACTAAAGTCATTCGTGCTATGCCTTTTTCTAAACCTCAGAGATCTTCACTGATTAAGTAACGGGTTAAGAAATGAGAAATACCATAAAACTCAATCTACACCATTGCCTCAAGAGCTGTAAATCCAAACAGGAATGGGATAAATGAGAGAACAGACATTTATTTCCCCATCAGAAGAGATGGGCTCAGAAAAGCGGTGACAAGAATAATGAAATGACAAGAATAGCCAACATACATTGAACTCTTAGGACACACCAAGTCCCATTCTAAACATTTTAGATGTATAAATTCATTGAATCCTCCCAATAAGTCAGGAATTCACATTTCACATAAGGAAACTGAGGCACAGAGAAGTTAATTTGCTAAAGGTTACAGAGCTAACAAGTATCAGAGCTGGGATTTGAACCAGGCAAGTTGGCTTTCAGTGACCTTGGACTTAATCAAGATCTTGTCAAAGAGGCATCTGCATTCCTTTGTTCATTGCAGCACTATTCCCAATAGCTAAGATATGGAAATTACCTGAATGTCCATTGATGATGAATGAATAAAGAAAATGTGGCATATATACGCAGTAGAATATTACTGAGCCTTACAGAAACAAGGAAGTCCTGTCATCTAAGACAACATGGATGAGCCTGAAGGACCTGCTGAAATAAGCCATGCACAGGAAGAAAACTACTAGATGACATCAGCTCTAGAGAATAAAAAAGTCAAACTCCTAGAAGCAGAGAGTGGAATAAAGGTGGCTGGGGGGACGGGGCAGGGACAGAACCATGGGGTCAAAAGGCACAACATTTTAGTCAGGCAGGAAAAAAGTTCTGGAGCTCTAACATACAGCATGGCTACTATTGTCACTGTATTCTGTGCTAGAAATTTGCTAAGAGAGGAGATCTTAAATGTTCCCACCCCCCACACACCTGACTGTGTGAGGTGATGGATATATTAATTAGGTTGATTGTGGTAACCGTTTTGTCATAGATACATATGTCAAAACATTACATATTCCTTAAACATACGATTATTTGTCAATTATACCTCAATAAAGCTGGAAAAAACAAAACACTTGAAAATACAATTTCCTCCTTATTAAATGAAACTCACATCCTGCCTAAATGACAAACCCAACAGTCTCTCGTCCACTGATGCTCACCTGCTCTGACTGGTGGAGGTGAAAGTTTCATCTATCTAACCTGAGACGGGGAGTGACCCTACTGGGCACAGCAGGTTTGGCGATAAAAGGCTTTTTTTGCTTTAACTAGTTTTCCAACATGTCATTCAGGCTAATTGGAAATCAACATATTTCTTCAATGCCAACGCCTCCAAATTTATTATGGCTTGCTCACAGGGACGCAAGCTTGTCATTTATTAAGACCACAGCTACAACACCTCGGTTTGTCCATCATGCAAGTCAGGGGGAGATGGGACGCTAGTTCAGAGATGAG